ATATGCCTTCCCATATATATATATATATATATATATATATATATATTAGCTTCTTTTCTTTCTTTTTTGTTATTATACAAGAAAAACACAGAAAATGACCAAGATAGGCATTATTTCTACAATAAAACAAACTTATTATTATTAATATGATGGCAACATTGTTAAACAGCTATACCCTCAATCCTGGATACATCATTTTATTTTATTAATGTTTTGTAATTTCCCCCTTTTTAACAGCAATGTGTAACGTTTTTTATCATCTTCAAAAGTAGCCACACTTTGCCTAGATTACAGCTCTGTAATCAACATATTTTAAATCATGAAATACACATATTGTATGTCCAAAATAGTCAACCAACAATACAATTAAATATTTGTAAAAATGCAATGAAATATCGGGAATTAAAAAAATATTTGTATTTATTAATTGCAATGTGAATATAATGATATATTCTTGTAATGATAATGATTTGCACATGCTATTATTTATACATGTATTAATATATTTCTACCTATCATCTATTTAATATATTATTAGCGTATTAATAAATAATATTAACATATCCCTCCTCCAAACAAAATCATTATGCTTTCATGTTTTCTACCACAAGGTGTGACTTTTATTTTGACAGACACCGTGACTTTTGGCTGTGTGCGCTGCTTTAAACAGGAAGCAAGTAGTATAGCATTGACCATGTCACCCAAGTGCTGCTCTTTTCTGTACACATGGTCGATAAAACATTGTTCTTACATGCACTTTAAGCAGCTGCACATCAAGCACAAGCAGTAGCTCGCATCTGTGGGACTGTTGAGCACATCTGTCCTCTAGCACGTGATCTGCTGCAGCACAGGACACTGTTACATGTGTGTTATGTCATGGCTATCTGATGTTGAGGGTACTGTGGATCTCTCTTATCCGGATTTATTTATACAGCACATGATCCTATCCAACACATCTGCTGCTGTCCGATGGAGCTGGCGTTCAGTGTTAAGAACTAACTCTAACTCTTAAGTACGTGTTTGCTAGTGTACTGTTTCTAGCAGACATGTTAAGGGCATTGGTTAAGGGTTTAAAAGACTGATGACAAATCAGAATTCAGCTGATTTGAGTTATGGCAAAAGCAAAACTATATACATGGTGACATTATGTTCAAAATATTAGTATCTGATATTATATTTTTTTTATATGTGTATGTGTGTATATAATATTATTTATTTGTGTAATACCTGCATGTTTTCCAGGATTTTCCTGCATATTCATATTCATAATTTTAATTTCTTTTTTCATGCATAATATATATATTGTATAATATTGTAATCATGTACACAACTAGTCAAAAGTTTTTGAACTATTACTGCTTTTGAAATACAGCAAAAGCAGTTATATTGTGAAATATTTTACTATTTAAAATAACTGCTTTCTATTTGAATATATTTTAAAATGTAATTTATTCTTGTGATCGAAGTTACATTTTCAGCATCATTACTCCAGTCTTCAGTGTCACATGATCCTTCAGAAATCATTCTAATATACTGATTTGATGTTCAAGAAAGATTTATTATTAATAATATTATTATCAATATTTAAAAAAATTTTTTGCAGGATTCTTTTATGAATAATTATGAATATGAAAATAAAAAAGCTTTTGTACACACTAAGCTTGGAGTCAGTATAATTTTTTATATTATAAAAAATAATATAAAATTTTATTTTAAGTATAATTTTATATATTATAGAAATTAATACTTTTATTTAGCAAGGATGCTTTAAATTGATCAAAAGTGATGATGAGGACATTTTAATATTTCAGATAAATGCTGTTCATCTAAACTTTCTATTCATCAAAGAAACCTGAAAAAAATCGACTCCGCTGTTTTCAACATAATAATAATAAATGTTTTTTTGAGCAGCAAATCAGAATATTAGAATGATTTCTGAAGGATCACGTGACTGGAGTAATGATGTTAAAAATTCAGCTTTGAAATCACAGGAATAAATTACATTTTAAAATGCATTCAAATAGAAAACATAGTAAAAATATATATTTTTTAAATTACTGTTTTTTTCCTGTACTTTGGATCAAATAAATGCAGGTTTGGTGAACAGAAGAGACTTCTTTAAAAAAACATTACAACTCTTACTGTTCAAAAAACTTGACTGGTAGTGTAGTTTTTGTGATATGACAAAAAAAACAAAAAAAAGCATGATATTTACACAAAAAAATTAATACATTATTAGAATTATTGTAATAAAAATTTAGACTAGTTGTTATGAATGTAATTTTTAAATCTTTTCTAATTAAATATATTTTTTTATTATATTATTTGCATAATAACAATGAGTGCACAATTTACATGTATTTCAGAATGTCTTAATATTTGACATTAGTATCTCATGCTTTAATAATGACAGCATTCAAGCTGACATAGACAAAACCTGATGATCTGATTCTTGGGTGTGTCTGATCTGTCTAGTATGTGGAGTGTATCCTGACGCCGGCCGTCCTCTGCCATGTTCCGGCTCCGATCGTTTCCAGCATGTTCCCACAGACTGTTTCACAGCGGGGCCCTCAGCCGTGATCAGGTGCTAGAGCAGCTCCAGACGTGCTCTGCTGAAGACCAGGTGTTCGATGTGGTGGGCCGGAACAAAGCCAAGCTGTCCGCGAGCCATGTGAGCTTTGCTATTGGACGGCTGTGGATGTTTCAAAGAGAGCGGCCACACATGTTCAGGACAATCGAGCAGGTCCGGAATCACCCGCAGTTCCTGACGCTTCGAGTTCTGGCTGAAAACAAGATCAGCCTTATGGATGACGCTTCAGTGGTGGATATGCTTTATGCTGTGCTCCGGTACAGAGCGAAAATATGAAGGTCAAAGAACAGCTCTGTTCCAAAAGCTACCTAGATATTATTTTAAGGTATTATAGGTTGGCATCAAGCTACGTTTTGAGATACCTTGCCTGAGTCAAATTCTAACACGGAATCGCATGAATTCTTTGGGAAAAAGCATTGCAGTAATGCATTGATTTAGAGTGAAAAAGGTCTTCTAACATGTCAGATGAATGAGATTCTTATGAAAATAAGAATTTTTTTTTGCTCAATATTATTGTGCATATTTGGAGTGTTGTGCTCTGTTAAATTTATTTGATTCAAAAAGTTTTCTAGGCATTTGGTCATGTTTCATTTAAGTCAGAATGCTTCCTTAGTAGGCAGCTCACTAGGTTCTGGAACAGAGCTATTGTCTAAACTGCACTGTATATATGGTGTCCTAATTAAATGTTTGTGGGTAAATCGCTAGTCTTTGATCTCTTTGATGTCTTGTTTTGCAGGCTTCAAGTAGAACACCATGACTCTCTTGTGCAGCAGCTGGTGACAGAGGCTTGGAACAGACTAGAGAGGTACATGAAAAAGCTGCACATAAATGCATAATTGTATATGTGTATATACATACACATATAAAATTATGCATTTATTTATATATATATATATATATATATGCAATAGATGTAAATATAGAATATATTTTTGCAAATATATGCATATATTTTATGCAAAATATGCATACATACATTTTATATACATAAATGTGAAGTATGCAGTATATTTTTGTTTATTGCAAAATATGCATGTAAATCTGCTTATCCAAAATGCATATAAATATTCATATAGATGTAACATTTAAAGTATGTTTTATGTTTATTGCAAAATACTCATATATGTGGATATTTATTTATTTATGCAAAACATGCATATTATTCCATATAAATACAGTAGATGTAAAATTTATAATGTTTTATGTTTGGTATAAAATATACACGTATGTCTGCATTTATATAGCCTGTGTATGCAAAGTATTAATATAGACTCAATGAAAATATTTTTGAAATATACAGTAAATATCTGCATAATTATTTATGCAAAATATTCTTAAATATTCTATATAATGTAAAAAAATTTACAAAATATTTAGTTATAAAATATGCGTATATATGCATTTATATATATATACATCCTTGTTGATCCAGGAACATCATTCCAATCAACCAATCAGAATTGAGAGATAACTTTTCAGGAAATGTCAGTTTTAGGCTTACGATCGGGGTTAGGTGCTTCTACACCCTTGTTAACCAGCTATCATTTCACACTGATTGTAGGAATAAATTATGGGTAAGGTTAGGTTTAGGGGTAGGGATTGGGTTAAATCTGTATTTTTGGACAGTAATGTTGATCCAGGAACATGTCTTGCTTGGCAAAATCACGGCGACCATATATACACACACACAATATAATTACACAAAATGTACAGTAAATAAATAATAAATGTCTAAAGTACAATTTTCAGTAGCAGTATATATATATATATATATATATATATATGCAAATTTTGAGTAAATATACAGGTAATTTGAGAGCATATGGAGACCGAATCTTCCTTTGTCATTTGCAGTGTCTCGTGGTTAATGTAGTTTTCACCAGGAATTCTGCTGTAAATATGATTATTTAAAAACATAAGTTGCCTGTAAATACCCCATAAAAGTGCAATGAAATATTTCTGTGTTTATCTAAGTCAAGCTTTCTGTGTTTTCAGATTCCAGATGACGACACTTTCAAAGTTTGCTGTTTGTCTGAGCGATCAGTTCCTGCAGCACAGCCCACTGATGGGTCAGATTACACAAATAGTGAGTCAAAGACTGGACTCGATTCAAGATGCCAGGTCGGTTTTTTTAACCATCATGTGCATTAAAGGTATAGTACACCAAAAATACAAATGTATTTACTCGTATCCTCTTTACAGAGTGCTCACACCCTTAATGAATAGTATTTTTGCCCTGGTGTCGCCACAACTGCGGGATGCACTGTTTGAAAAAGCGGACTCCCTTTTGGACAAAATGACCCTATTGCACTTCAACAACCCCAGAAGGGTTGTGCAGTTCATCCGAAACGTCAAACAGATTCACCGACCCCTCCTGGAGAAATGCAACCAGCTTCTCCTGCAGAACGTCCCCCGGTTGGACGTAGAGCACATCAGCATCATTCTGGGACTGTATCACTCGATGCAGTACAATAACTGTGATTTCCAGCTGGCTGTGAAACAGAGACTCATGGAGCTGGTGGACACATGCACTGATCCTGCCACTTTCACCAAACTCTTTGCTTCTTTAGGACCAGTGGCAAGGCAAGGTGTCAGAGAGGGGTGAGCAAGGGAAAGTATCCCTTATTCTTTTAATAACAATTGTTTTATATTATTTTAGTACTATTTATGTGTTATTATAGTATTTATTAATATTTTAATTCACTTTTATTTAGCTGTTTCCATTAAATTTAAGTAATTTAGTTGTCCTTTTGTCATTTTTCAATATATATTTCTCTTTAGCTTTAATTTATATTTATTTCAATTAGTCCTTAAAATGTTATTTCTGTTAGTTAATATAATTTTCAAATTTTTTTTTATATTTCTTATATTTATATTTAATTATATATATATATATATATATTTTAAATATTTCTACTTAATTTTTTTTAGCTATAGTTTTAGTAATTTTAGTATTCCATCTGAAACAAAAATTAGAAGTGTTGCCTTGGTTTTTTTTTTTTTATTATTGAAATTGACTCCTTGGCATCCTTATTGTAAAGTTCAACAGTGAGAGTATTTATCGTTTTCTCCATAGGGAGTAAGTGTAAAAGTGGTTAAGCCATGGCAAACGGCATGAGTGACTTGCATATGTGCGAAGGTACTATTGACATGGAGGCATATATTGGAGTTGTACAGAGAAATATACTGCCATCGAGATGATGTCTTTCGTGGGAAGTCCATGGTTATTTGATCAAGACAATGCCAGCTCTCATTCTGCAAGTGCTACAACAGCGTGGTTCCGTAGACTCAGAGTGAATGTGCTAGACTGGCCTGCCTGCAGTCCAGATCTGGCTCCTGTTGAAAATGTATGTCCAGTCATGAAAAGACAACAACAATCACAGACTGCTGAGCTTCTGAAGCCTTGTTTCAAGAGAGACTGGACAAAAATTTTACTTGCAAAACTTTAACAATTAGTATTCTTAATTCCCAAACAATGAAACATTGTAATTAAAAGGAAAGTTGATGTCACACAGCGTTAAACGTGCCTCTGTCCCAACTTTTTTGGAGTGTGTTGTAGCCATCAAAATCAAAATTTGTTCATATTTACAAAATACATTTACGTTGGTCAGTGAAAACTTTGGAAATGTTTTCTTTGTACTTTTGCCAACTAAATAAAAGTTAGAGAATGAACAAATCACAGATTCTTGATTCTTCTTAGACTTCTATTTCAAATAAATGCTGTTCTTTTGAACTTTGAAATTTGAAAAAATCCTGAAAAAAAAAAAATTCAACATTGATAATAAGTGTTAATAATAAGATGTTTCTTGAGCATCAAATCAGCATATTAGAATGATTTCTGAAGACTCGAGTAATGATGCTGAAAATTCAGCTTTGCATCACAGGAATGAATTACATTTTAAATATATTCAATTTTCACCATTGTAAAAATCCTGACCCCAAATATTTGAATGGTATGCATATATACTCATAAATTTGTCATTCTCCTTTTATTTTAATATTAATATGTTAATATGTAGTATTACATAGTTGTGGATACTTCAGTAAATTAATTTCATCACATTTTGATTTTGTTTCTTCACAAACCAAAATGTAAGATTATTTATCATGAAAGTTAATTCTTACATTTTGACCTTAAACTAAAGGACTCTAAAATCTGATTTGATTGGATAAGATTAAATATGTCTACTCTGCATAGTAAAGCATACAGATGACATAGTTCTACCAACACATGGTTTATATCTTCATACCATCCAGCCTCAACAGCAATGCAAGTAATTGTTGCGTCAGATATATTTCATTGCATGGCAGTCATGACTAGAAACATGAGAGGATATCTTACCATGTCTTTTTTGACAGGATGGCAGCAGTACTCTTGAGGAATCTGGAGACGTATAGGGCAGTGGAAATCGCTCGAATCACTCAATCGCTCATCGTGCTGCACTGCCAGAATCCCGAGATCTTCTCCAGACTGAAAGCCAAACTGCTGCAGTAAGTGTTAGAGAGATCGATTAGTGAGTCTTATAATGAATGAAATAATTCATACAGAATGTAAAATTCTGTCATTATTTACTTTACTTATTTACCTTGGTGTCATTCTGAACCTGTATGGTGTTTTTTACACTACTGTTTAAAAGTGTGCGGTTGTGAAGATATTGGAAAGAAGTTTTTTATGCTCACCATGGCTGCATTTATTTGAATACAGTAAAAGCAGCAATATTGTGAAATATTATTACAATTTAAAATAACTGTTTTTTTTTAATTGATTATATTTTACGATGTAATTTATTCCTGTGATGCAAAGCTGAACTTTCATCATCATTACTCCAGTCTTCAGTGTCACATGATCCATAGAAATAATTCTAATATGCTAATTTGCTGCTGAAGAAACATTTATTATTATTATTATTATTATTATTATTATTAATGCTGAATACAGCCTTGCTGCTTAATACTGTGTTTTTGAGGAAACTGATATTTTCTTTAGGATTATCTAATGTATAAAATGTTCAAAAGAAAAGTGTTTATTTAAAATAGATATCTTTTTTAACGTTATAAATGTAATAGATCAATTTAATGCATCTTTGCTGAATAAAATCATGTTTTTTTTAAAAACCTTACTGACCTGAAATTTCGACGCTTAACCAAACACTCTCCTGGTTAAGGGTCGAAATTTCAGGTCAGTAAGGTTTTTTTTTTATTATTAATAATTTTATTCTGCAAAGATGCATTAAATTGATCTATTACATTTATAACGTTAAAAAATATATCTATTTTAAATACTTTTCTTTTGAACATTTTATGCATCAGAGAATCCCAAAGAAAATATCACAGTTTCCTCAAAAACACAGTATTAAGCAGCAAAGCTGTATTAAGCATTAATAATAATAATAAATGTTTCTTCAGGAAACACTTCAGGAACGTTGGTAACCATCTGATGACACAACCTCCTGGCTAAAGGCTCCAGTCATTGCAAAATGACTGAAGGAGAAGCATCTAAGGATGTACGATATCACAATAACTAACATTAGCAAAGACTAATAAATTCTGTAAAAAATAAATATATTGCTCACCATTAGTTCATTTTTGCAAATCCATTAACTAGCAACTAATGAGACCTTATAAGAAATAACACTATTGAACCATCTTATTTAACTTTTATGTTTTTAACGGTTGTCTTTCTTTGATCATCATTCATAGTTACCTGCTGGGCAGTGTGTATCCATACGAGGTGACCATGCTAACCAGGGTTCTGTCCATGCTTCCTTCTCCCCGTCCTGACGAGGCCGTCCTTTCCCGGGTGAACGCCATGATCCCGCAGTGCAACCTAAACGACCTCAACACTTACGCCACGGTCGTCGTCAAGTGGATTCGCAACGATCCCTCGTACCGGCACAACACCTCCAGCAAGTACGTCCGCCTGCTCCAGACCCTGAACCGCTGCAGTCGTGAGCGGCTACACAGCTTCGAGAGTCTGGACGTGGTGCTGGAGGAAGTGAAGTGTTTGTCGGGGGAGTGGTTTGATGAGATGCTGCTGGAAGAGTCTATGGTCGCCATGCAGAAACTGATTGACCAAATATCCTGGACTAACGTGCATGAGCTAGGCGTTTATCTGACCAGGACTAACAACTACTGTGCCGCGCTGATGGACCGCATCGCTAGTGTGACTACTGAAAATATGGACAAGGTGGGAGTCATCTTAAATGTTGTTTCAATACATTTTGATTATTATAATGTATTTTTGTGTATTACTTTGGATTGTTGTGTTTGCTTGTGTTGTAAAGCACTTTGAGAAAGTACTCTTTTAAAGGCGCTATACTAAATAAAATTTATTATTATTATTATAAGGTTAATTTTTAAGGTTATATAAGGTTTCCGTTTTTTTCATTTTAGTTTAAGCTTTTGTAATTTTGCTATGTGCTTTTGTCTTTTTTTTTTAGTTTTAGGTTTGTTTTAAATTATATTTAGCTTTAATTTATTTCATTTCAGTTTTATTACTTTTAGTATTTTAATTTATTTCAGTTAGTTCAATGCATTTTGTTTTATGTAATGTATGTATATACGTAATATATAATTCATATAATTGCTTGTTTTATTGATTGATTGATTGCCATTTAATGAGATTTACAATAAGATAATTAATTAATTAATTAACTATTAAATTAAATTAAAAAATGATTAAAAATTACAATAAGATAAGATTAATAAGATTTTTTCAATTTTTTTTCAAAGTCTCTCATGCTCACCAAGGCTATATTTATTTAATAAAAAATACAGTAAAAACTGTAATATTATGGAATATTATTACAATTTAAAATAAATGTTTTCTATTTGAATATATTTTAAAATGTAATTAATTCCTGTGTTGCAAAGCTGAATTTTCAGCATCATTACTCCAGTCTTCTGTGTCACATGATCCTTCAGAAATCATTCTAATATGCTGATTTGGTGCTCAAGAAACATGATCATTATTGTTATTAATAAAAAAGTGCATCAGAAACTCATGTTGTTAAATAAATTTGTATGTTTGTCTCTTCCGCACAGATTCATTACTCGGCAACCTATTCCACTTTGCTGCCTTTCGCTGTGCTAAATTATGACCCACCGAAGGCGGAGGAGTTTTTTGATGTGTGCATTCGACATTTCACTCCGTATAGAAGTAAGATTCTTCCATTATGCATTTATAAAAGTTTCTAATCTGAAATACTTGAAGTTAGAATGTAACTTGTTTTTGCTGATTCAAACAGGTTCTTTTGACCCTCACCTGCTGGTTCTCTTGGCTTACGCACTGGCTTTGGCTGATTATTTCCCTGAGGAGGTGGTCCGAGAGATCTTCAATGTGGACTTTCTTGCAAAGTTGGATGCCCATCTGGAGAGTATGTCTATGTGCATTCATATAAAACTTAAAGGAATAGTTCATCCCAAAATGAAAATTTGGTAAAACTCTATTCACCCTCAGGCCATCGAAAAAGGACCTGAGTTTGTTTCTTTTGGAGAAATGTAGCGTTACATCACTTGCTCAGCAATGGATCCTCTGCAGTGAATGGGTGCCGTCAGAATGAGAGTCCAAACAGCTGATAAAAACATCACAATAATCCACACCACTCCAGTCCATCAATTAACGTCTTGTGAAGTGAAAAGCTGCATGTTTGTGAGAAACAAATCCCATTATGAAGACATTAAAGCGCCCCTATTATGGGTAGTGAAAGGGTCATATTTTGGTTTTGGGAGTCCCCAACAACAGGTTGACATGCATGCAAGGTCAAAAAACACTTTCATTGTCTTATAATATGCATTTATTTTTACCTTACTTGCTCAACGACTTCCAAACGATTCGCTTAACTATTCATTTTTCCAAACCTCTCCTTTGCGTGACACTAATCTGCGGTGATTGGTCCGATTGGTCGATTTCATTTCATCATGCCTGTAATGCCTGATAAAGCAGTGTTTGTGAGCACAGTGCTGCTTTGTTTACAGCCGTTACCGGGGAAACCGCTATTTTTTTAATGCTCCAAAAGCAGCACCTAGTGGCAAAGAATGAATTTGCATATTCATTCAGACCAACTCGAAAAAAGATCAACAAGTTGGCGGGCAATATGCTAATGTTTCATGTTGACATCAACATGAAACGGCTTGGGATTCGTTTTAAAAACGACTCGTTTCAATGATTCTGATTCAGAGTCTTCTTTTGAGAGACAATAACTTTATACACGGTGCACTTTCAGATTTAAAACTTTGCAGGATGTTTTTTATTCACTTAGAGCTCTGTTACACACTGCATGAAAGGTAATTTTCAAAAATCCATATTAGGGGCACTTTAACTTAAAACTTATGCTTCCGACCAAAATAATCTATAATCCATAATAACGCTTCCTTCAGTGAAAAAGTTGCCTCGTCTGAATCAGGAGAGAAATATGCACAGATCAAGCGTCGTTTACAAGTGACAACAGCCCAAAATGGTTCTAAACAGATATGTTTGTGGATTTTGATGTGAGAGGACAACAGGAGACAGACTTTTTCACTGCAGGAAGCATTATTATGGATTATGGACTCGTGGAAGTAAAATGTCTTAACGATGGATTTGTTTCTTACAAACAAGCAGCTTTTCACAAGACGTTAATTGATAGACTGGAGTGATGAGGATTACTTACTGTGATGTTTTTATCTGTTGTTTCTTTGCAATTCTTAATGTTATCATTCAACTGAGAAGTATGGTGATATTTAATAATTCTTTGTTGTTTAGTGTTGTGTTTTTTCTCATTGCTGACAGCCTTTCCAGATGCTCTAAACATGCGCATCCGTCTCCGTCTCATGGAGCTGAATCGGGCCGTGTGTCTGGAGTGTCCTGAGTTCCAGGTGCCCTGGTTTCATGAGCGCTACTGTAAACAGCTGCAGAAGAGAGGTCAGCACCATTATTCCAGTCTTCAGTGTCACATGATCCTTCAGAAATCATTCCAAACAAGCAGCTTTTCACAAGACGTTAATTGATAGACTGGAGTGGTGAGGATTACTTACTGTGATGTTTTTATCAGCGGTTTCTTTGCAATTCTTAATGTTATCATTCAACTGAGAAGTATGGTGATATTTAATAATTCTTTGTTGTTTAGTGTTGTGTTTTTTCTCATTGCTGACAGCCTTTCCAGATGCTCTAAACATGCGCATCCGTCTCCGTCTCATGGAGCTGAATCGGGCCGTGTGTCTGGAGTGTCCTGAGTTCCAGGTGCCCTGGTTTCATGAGCGCTACTGTAAACAGCTGCAGAAGAGAGGTCAGCACCATTATTCCAGTCTTCAGTGTCACATGATCCTTCAGAAATCATTCCAATATGCTGATTTGCTGCTCAAGATACAAATAACAAATAGATTTAAAAGGTTTAATGTAAGAACTAAAGTGTTTTTATTTATAAATCTTGTTTTCCACACTGTAGCCAACAGCTCCATTAGTCCAGCTCAGCAGCAGATCCATAAGATGCTTGGAGACGTCCTGGGTGGGATGAACTGTGCCAAAGTAGGAGTGCTGACGCCATACTTCTATACTGTCGGTGAGTTTTGAATCCGTGTTACATGTAAAACAGAACATTTTGATTAGGGTTTTTTTCAGTGGCCAATATAGTGCGGTTAAACTGACCCTAATTCAATTTTTACTTTTTAAAAACACATTCCCTGGTCTCATTGTGCACGTACACGAAATAGCCTACCTTTTCATCACAAATCCCTCTCAAAATGCTTCTCAAAATAGCTGAAAGCCATGGTTACACTGTTTCAAATTCACTTTAAATATGACACAATACAGTTTAACAATGAAATGAAATATACACAAAAGGTATTTATTTTATTTTATTTTTTATTTTACAATTTGTGATCCTGGAGCACAAAACCAGTCTTAAGTCGCTGGGGTATATTTGTAGCAATAGCCAAAAATACATTGTATGGGTCAAAATTATTGATTTTCTTTTTTCCATGCTGGAGCATTACCTTGTCAAACAAAAATAAAGACAAACATATATTTAATATTTAATTGTATATATTTTTTTTTAATGGTACACAAGTTCATTTCCATGCTTAACCATGACCTTGTCAGTATTTTACCTGTCAGTATGATTTGTGCTATGTACCATTAAGTATATTAGTTTGATGAGTTATATTGAGTTGATTTGATGTACGGTGACCTAGTGTAATATTTCATTGACTAAATACATTCACAGACATAATGGTGGTGCAGGATGACAGTCCTAGATACAGTATTGCTGCTTCAGTAGACAAATGACAACTGTGATATTTTTGTTATCAGATTTTGAACTTGTCCTGGATCGCCATCTTCATCCGGTACCATACAGCGAGCCCAGTCAGCTGCAGATCAGTGAGAACGGAAACGTTCACTGGCAGTCCGGATCGGAAGACAGAGAGAGGACGGCGCTGCTGCCCGGAGCTCGCCGGTATGCATCATGTGACCTGCACTCGCTCTATTGCACACGAGAACACATAAAAAACAGACATAATATGATTCTCTAAATCTGTCTAGCATTGCCTTGGATTTCCTGGACTCCAAATCGTTCTGCAAAAATTCCTGGCACATGAAAGGAGAGGCCATGATGAAGAAAAGACATCTGGAAATTTTAGGATATCATGTATTACAGGTCAGTAGAAAGATAACGCATAATTCCGACGACAAAAGTGTGGTTTTGCTAATAATGCGTATTCCTACAGATTCCTCACTTTGAATGGAACTCAATGGAGCTTTCCACAGAAGATGCATGGAAAGAATATCTGAGGAGGAAAATATTCTCAGAGTTACCCTGAGACATTATCTTGAAACAATAGACATCAGATTGTCTAAGCTGCAAGATTAGCACTGCAAGCTTATTTTAATTGCTCATTTTGTAATAAGTGATATTACTTACGTGACTTTTTTCGTTCACAAGGAAGAAATGCATAGCTGTTTGCCTTTAAATATGTATTTATTATGCATTTTATATAAAAGAAAAGAGGCGTTTATGGATAACAAAAAAAAGTAAATTTAATTTTGGCATCCATTGTAGAAATGTTTTCCTCAACTACACCACATTTCACAACAGAACCTAACATGAAATATAAATCTGTGGTCATTTTTAGTCAACATGAGACATCATTCGCTATACATTTTACTTCGTTAAAGAAGAGGGATGAATCATTTGTAAAGAAATTTGTTTTAGAGGTGGAGAAAGTTGCAATTCATTTTGATTCAAACTTTCAAAGACGGGGAATGTGCATTACAGTAAATATAGTCAGTTTTGATTTCATGTTGACTGTAAATGTTTGTAAATGTTTTTTTTGTTGGTTTTGCTGCTTTAAAATATAGTTACACTTTGTTATTGGACACAAACTATAAAAAGTGATGATAATGTTTTTTAAAGTTTAGGCATCTTTGCTGCATTTAATCTCATAGAAACGCAGGAGGCGCCGGCAGCATATCGCATCTCTCGTATCATTCCAGTCCACTGTTTCTTGTCCTCCTCAAACCTGTTAAAAAAGAGTGGATTTTAGATTTTGTCTCAATTGCAATGATACATTACATGTTAAAAGTTAAACTAAACTAAAAGTTGAGGTTTTTTTTTGTGATTTCAAAACTTTTACCTGCATATACATCACTGTTCAAAAGTTTGAGGTAAATAAGTTTGTTTTTGAAAGAAGTCCCCAAGGCTGCATTTATTTGATCAAAAATACAGTAAAACAGTAGTATTGTGAAATATTATTACCATTTAAAATAACTGTTTTTTATTTTAATATATTTTAAAGGGGTCATATGATGCGATTTCAATTTTTCCTTTCTCTTTGGAGTGTTACAAGCTCTTGGTGCATAAAGAAGATCTGTAAAGTTGCAAAGACTAAAGTCTCAAATCCAAAGAGATATTCTTTATAAAAGTTAAGAGTCAACCACGCCTACCTAAAACGGCTCGTTCTAACACACCCCACATGTCTACGTCACGATGTGAGAAGATTTGCATAACGAATAGAAAGTTCAAAAGAACAGCATTTATTTAAAAAAGAATTATCTGTTAAATATTTGATCCCAAAATAATGTATGATGAATATAATTCAGAAACACTTACTGCCAGATGTCAGCGATTTCTGATGGGACACACTGTTTGTCCTCGTTCTCCTGCACTGCGAAGCCGCCCACAGCATACAGGACACCAGCAGCACTGACCAAATTCACAGAACTTCTCTCCTGCACAAACTCAGGGAACGGCTCCCATCTATTGGGGGGAACAAAAACAGGGTTTAAACTGATTCTGATAGTTCTGTAGAGGATAACAGGATAACTACCACAATATCCCAGTTCAGTAAACAGAGATAGTTTAAATAATATTTTTGCCCGTGTTTGTCATTTATGTCTCAAATGAAAAGCTGGCAAGTTATTATAAATATTATAATAATCTCTAATCTATATGGTTCGAACAAAACATGTTTTGTTGAGAATATTGTTTTAATTGGTGATCATTTTATAGGTGTTCCATGTGTCCTCAATATCATTTTATGCTTACAAGAGCCAGTTCCTTTGTGACATCATCCTCCAGGAAGTGACTTAATTTTGGAGGGAAAACAAGAACAACAGCTCAAATCAGTAAGTGTTATCAATAGATTTGCTGAATTCTGTGATGTTCGGTGGTGTTAAATGTATTATCTACACTCTAAAAAATGCTGGGTTGTTTCAACCCAACTTTGGGTCAAATATGGACTAACCCAACCGTTGGGTTAATTTTTTACATTAAATTTTTAACCCAAAAGTTGGGTTAGTCCATCTATATTGAAACAACCCAGCATTTTTTAGAGTGTATGATAATGTCTATATTTTAAATTTGGTATAATACCAAATTTGCAAGGTAACTGTCAATTAGTGGTGAAACAAAGCTTTGAAATCAAAGCGAAAATCGAAAAATTATTTACTGTTTCAAAAGTGCACCAAACCAGAATGGTTAAATGCAACGACACCTCAGCCCGAACGTGCATAAAAACCAGGTAAAACCATATTGACCCTGGTTCATTGTTTTATAGAGATCGACCATAGCAGTGTTTTTTTTTTTTTTTTTACTGTCTATGGGTGAACCTGAAATTTTGAAACAATGTTGAAGCTTCGCTAATCACGCGCTCCGCATCACTGGTTTGAAACAAATGATTCACAAATGTTTCGAAGCTTCACGAAGCAGTGTTTTGTAATGTCTCCGTTTTAAATCCTTCACTGATCACTGGCTAACTTTAGCTTTAATTTAGAGTATCTTTGAACTTTTTTTTTTTTTTTTTTTAAATACTTGTGGTTTCAGGATTAAGTATCAGTTAAAAACTAGTGATGTATTACATACTTGTTTGTCCCAAAGTCAAAGGCTTCACTAGAGGATAAAAGGCCATCTTCATTGACCCCTCCAACCACAATGATCTTTCCTTTGTGGACTACAGCTCCAAACATGGACCTGGGTGTCTTCGTGGCTGCCAGCTCTTTCCATTCGGACTTCTTGTGGTTGTATGCAAACATCTTGTTGATGGTTTTACTGTTCCAGAAATTAAAACAAGCAATGACGCCTAATTTCAGGCTTTTATTTTGTATTTAAGGTTAACTAAAATCTGACTTACTTCTCATCCGTCTTTCCTCCTATGCAGTAAACTAGTCCGTTTTGTGAGATCACACTGTGACCGTGAATTCTTAAGGGCAGTTTTTTGGTCTCCTGCCACTTCATCTTACTGCCAAGAGCAACAAAAAGTAATTAGATGGACTTCTTTGGCTCATGTTGCAGAAAATGTAGAAGAAACTTACTCGACATCATAACACAGCACTGAGTCCAGAGACTCATTGCTCTGCAGGTCTTTACCAGCAACTGCAAACAAGAGGTTTTCAAACTCCCCCATGGCAAACAGACATCTGGGCGATGGCATCGGTGGCAGGGCTATCCAGTTTGGAGAATGAGTGTCCAGCTGAAGAATATGCATGATTGCAAATGAATTACAAATGTATATAACTTTCATTTTATTTTCCCTGCCTTTGTACTAGGCCTGTTAATGATTTAGGACTTTTCTGCACCTAAAACCACTTCCTAGAAATCATACAATTAAATGAATAGTGCACCCAAAATTAAAAATCTAGTCATCATTTCTTCACCTTCATGTCATTCCAAACCAGTATGCAACACAAAAGTGCGTTTTTCACCCTTAAAAATATTAACCCAGGGTCATTCTTAACTAAAACTAAAACTAAATAAAAAAATGTTTATTACTTAAAATATGAAAAACCTAAACTTATTTTATTTCGGCTAGTTGCCAAGGAAAGATTTTTTTATTTTTTATTTAGCTTGATGTACTAAAATAACTAAAACTAAAACTGAAATAAAAAGTCCTAAAAATTACTGTATACAGACATACTGAAAAAAGTCCTAAAAATGACAAAAACACAAAATTACTAAAATTAAAATCAAAAGAATATATAAAAAACTCATACATTTGTAAATTCTGTGCTAAAATTTTTGTCTGCATTTATTGAATAACACTCCTATTTGCATTTTTCTGTGATTAATATGTATTAATCATATGCAGCATGAATATTTAATGAGGCACGTGCTGTTCATTTTTTGATTGGTTGTCTGAAAACGTGATTCGTGTTTAAAACCAGGAGAGTAGGCTTTCATAACCAAGGGTTAAAAGTACGACAACACATGGTTAAGTGCAATGTGAAAAGCTCTAAGTTCAGAGATAAAATATCCAGGGACTGGGGCTGTAAAGCTCCAAAAATGGCAAAAAAAAAAACGTAATGTTACCATAAAATTAGTCTTATGTGCTAGTCCTGTGTTACCAAAAGAAAACGGAACAACCTGAAGGCCAGTAAATGAGAGAATTTCCATTTTGAATAAATTACGGTCTTTTGACAACGATAATAGCATCTACAACCTCGTATGATGATAATGCTGTGTTTAATATAAGCGCGACCTGCTGTTATGTCGTCTGCCGCTTTAACGTAAATTCGCAAGCGTTTTTAAAAGGCGGGTAAATTCTAATTGCCTTACTGAAGGCAAAAACCCTGTACTGAAAGTGATTCCATCGAAATCGTTTCTCTGTGTTGTTATACTTATTCTATGAGAATAGGTAAGACCACACCACAGCTATAAAAATGTAGTTGTAGTTATAATCCTTGGTGTAAACAGTCTTTTGTTATATATGAGTGACTAGCCTAACCTGGTAGAAATAGCACTGCAGTGGTGATTCCTTGTCTTCATCAACAAACAGTCCTCCCAAAACATAGAGCAGGTTCTTCTTCGACGTAATGCTAACATGATTTCGAGGTATCTGCTCCGCTATGGCTGCTACGAAGCATTCGTTTTCATCAGCATCATAGGCCACAGCCGCCGTGTCGTTTATCATCAGGATGAGATCCCTGTTGAACATCCCCAGCCGTTTGCTGTTATTGAGATAACCAGGCAAGACTTTTCCACCCTCTTCTTCGCTTTTCTCGCCCTCCTTATTTTGTGGAAGTTTTCCAGCAAACGCCTCTTTGATGACCTTCAGCTTCTTGGCGAGCTCAGGGTCGGCCTTGATGATGTCGTCCTTTTCCACCTTCTCCTTGAAGTATTTCTCGGGTAGTAATCGGAAACGGATGTGTTCGAAAGCATCTCCCAAAGCTTTCGTCCGGTTCTCCTTGTCCTTCCGGACCCATTTCATCAGGAGCTCGAACACGACCTCTTCTTTTTCCACGTTCAGAGCATCGCACCCGATCATAGCGAACAACTCGGGAGCGTTGAACTCAAGAAAGTCCTCATCCTTGGATAAAGTCTCAAAACGCTCCGCTATGAAGTCCCTAGCAGCCATAGCAAGTCTAGGGCAGTTCAAAACCAGTCCCATTCTGAAGATGGCCAAGCAGTTACCCAACGAAAGCTTGTTTTGTAGATAGTTGATGCAAATGGTGAACACGGATGGGATTTGGAATCTGTTGGCGACTGCGAAGACGTCTTGCACGTTCTCATCTGTGATTTCGATGTCTGCCGAATAGAGATAGTTCACAATCATGTCCATAATGGTGGGATCCACGTTCTCCAGCACTACTTCCTTGCTGGAGTCTTTCTTCTCAACTCCATCTTCAGTAAAGTACAGCTCTCGGAAATACGGGCTGCATGCAGCCATGATGAGTCTGTGGCACGGCAGACTCCGATCTCCAACCTTCAGAATACAATCCACAAACTTGTTCTCCTTCAGA